TGATGAGCTGATCCCAGGGGCTGAGGTGGAGAGCAAATGTTTTGAGGATGATGAGGGCAATGAATGTACAAATGTGCTTTACATAATTGATGTATGTATGGATTGTGATAAGAGTTGTATGAGCCCCTAATAAAACGATAAAAAAAGAATCACAAAAGAAAAAAACTAAAGTTTCCAACTTAAAAAAAGAAAGAAAGAAAGGCATGCTGAGCAACCACGAGCCATCCAGAGTGGGTAGAGCACACTCCGACTCAGAGAGACCCAATACAGGGCCTTCAGAGGCTATGCATCTTTACAGAAGTAGACAGCCTCATCTTTTCCCCTCCAATCAAGTTGGTGCATTTGAACTGATGACCTTGTGGTCAGAAGCGCAATGCCTAACCCACACGGCCATCCTTGGGTAGAGCATAGCAGGTGATAAACTGTAGACCATTGCCTGGGCTGTGTGCGCACACCGATAGTCAATCCTGCCTTTTCCAGAACCAACCCATGAAATGGGCGTGTTCTGTCCCTGGCTGGGATGGCATCGTTCTTCACCCCCAGCAACTTGCAAGACCATCATACGTACAAGATTCAAACGGGTTTCCAGAATGTGGATCTGTTTTTGCAGTTTCCGGGGGTTATTGGCCTCTTGCATTTTGGTGAAGATCTGCTTTTGGTTTACAAGTTTTTGTTCTACCTGAGCAATCTAGAAAGAGAGAGAGGGGGAAATGAAAAAATAAAATAACCTCAGCTGTCTTAACAACTGTGTGGGTGCGATCCTACAGTTTACTCACTAAGTGTATTCAAAACCCAAACTGCCATGTCCTTTCTTTTCCTAAACATGAAGTTTGCATTTCTGTCTGGTAGACCCGTTCGATTCAACATCATCTGAGCTAGTTTAGGATAAAAATGATGCAATCGATAGAGAGTGTCTGCTCTTACCTAGATATGTAAATTTCCAACAAGGGGAAACCTGCTGAGGTATTTTGTGAAATATTCTCTCCTCCTACCAGTAATAAGACACTGCCTGTAATGTTGCCCTTCCTCATATCCTTGAACGTGATTCTATGAGGCACAGATGCCAGCGGAGCTTTGATTGACAGCCACTTTGTGATCAGGAGGGGAGGACCAAGAGACTCTTTCAGAAAAAGACCAGCCCATCTTGATAGAGCTGCTAAATCCTCCCTGGCATGGCCAAGTTCCAGATTATGCCGTGAGAACTTGCATTATCTCGGCTGCTTTTAGCCAAAGAATTCCGTTACTTGCAGCCAAATGCATTCTCACTGGTGCATCCAACAAAGAAGGCCGCTCTGACTGCCAGGCAGTCAGGAAACAGTCCGTTGAGTAGCACCAAACTGGAGAGGAAAACGGATTTCATTTACAATTGATAGGAGCCGGGGTTTGGACATTAGCCAAAACACGACAGGCCCCAAATTCCTCAAGGTTAAGAAAAAGAGCTTCCTTAGCCCTGATATACAAAGTCAAGCCCCCCGTTCTCTCAACACAACCCCCCTCAGACTCACTGATGAACTCGACTTGTGACTGGTCCTCATTTTACCAAGGGCAGTGTCCCCAGCAGCTCCTGCGCTGGCGCGAGGCTACAACTGACCCAAGTCCTCAGGCATCAGTTCCTTGTCCAAGCAAAGCTGTAGCATCAGCGTGTCCACCATGACTCTCAGGGGTAAATTCCGTGTTCAGATTTCCCGGGTGTCTGTGTCTCAGAACACCGCTTCTGTGACGCGGAGAGTAATTCAACCAGAACGCTGCAAGTGGCAGAGGACTGTCTTGCCAAGCACCTTGTGTTTTACAGTTGGCTAATTGATTACTTTGTAAAGCCAGGTGGGGCCTGGTGAGGACGGTCCGGGCTTACAGTGACCTCTTGCAAGGTGGGGCTCTGGACTCTGTGTTGGGCCTGGAGTCGGGGGAGAGGTTCTGGAATTTGCCCATTTGGGAATTAAATCAGGATGAAGAGCATTTGCGGTAGCTGGTGATGCTTTTATTCTTTTGAGGACTCCAAATTAGGTGGCCTTTTCCACATGCTTCTAAGGACTTGTATTCCCATCCTTTATTCAATTTTCCTGGATCACCTCCTTTCTCATTCATGCCTTTATTCATCAACCAGTTTTTCATCCCATCCCTCATCCCTCCATATTTGGGAAACGCCCGCGCTGTGCCAGAAAACAAGAGTGACAGTCGTCAGGACAGAGACAGTGCCCAGCCTCAAAGAGCTCACTCTCTAGGACTTGGGGCAAGGAAAGGGGAAGGGGCAGGACTATGCATGAAGTACATAAAGTGGGGTAAGTCTTAGAGGAGAGGAGATAGAAGGCATTCTGGACCCACCCTAGGGGCGTTTGAGCCGAGCCCTTGAAGGATAACTAGGGAGAGGAGCATCCCAGACTGAGGACAGGGCCGGGGCACAGGCAGGACCATGAGAGACAGCACAGTAGGCCCCAAGGAGGAGGAGGCCACCAGTGAGGACAGAGCACGGAGAAGGAGGGGCAGGAGAGCAGGTGAAGAGGGGGGAGGAGGGTGTGGGCAAGGCTCCTAGGGAGTTGGCCTTTATCAAAACACGAGTGGGAAACCACTAGAGGGGTGTTCTTTGCGCTGGTTTGCTATTTTGGCGGGGTGGATGGATAAGTATAGGTAAGGAGTCCTGGTAGTGCAGTGGTTAAGCACTCAGCTGCTGACCAAAAGGAGTGAGTGAACCGTGACCATCTCCTCCCAGTCAAGACGATGCCTTGAAAGCTTGGGGGGGCAGTTCTACTCTGTTGCATGGGGGTCATGGTGGATCAGAATCAACTCCACAGCACGCAGGCCAATTCATGTAGGTGAGGGGCTTCCAGAAGCCCATGGGAACATTTATATCTCCATAAATATCTATTTATATCTATATTCCATTATATTTTAATTCCATTTTCCCCTGGACTTTCGGAAGCTCCTTCATCAGACAGGCCTTGTGGGTGTTGAGGAGCCTTGTTGGCACCACGATTAAAACCCGTGGCTGCTAATTAAAGGGTCACCTGTTCAAACTCACGAGCTCCCCTAAAGAGGACAGCCCCGGAAACCCCATGGGGCAGCTCTCCTCTGTCCTACAGGGTTGCCGTGAGTGGGAATGGGCTCGACCTCGACTGCCTTGTTTGGGGCTTTGGGTGGATGGAGTGCTGGGGATAGGGTGAGGGCTTGCTAGGTCACCATCAGGACACCGCCCCACCTTCTCCTCCAGCTCAGCCAGCAGTGTCTTCAGGGACTGATTCAGGGTCTTGTAGTCCTCCTGGGTTTGCTGCAGGAAGCGCAGCTCCATGTAGTTCTTCTCATTCAGATCCAGGTTCTTAGAGGATTTGATGAGCCCCAGAAGCAGGTTGATCTCATCATGCTCCTCCTGCAAGGTCTTGATCTTCTTGCTGGGGGGTGGGGGGGGTGGGGGGCAGAGGGAGAGAAGCAGTGCCCTGAGGTGAGCCTCCTCCTCCAGTCTTCCTTGTATCTCCCCATCCCCAAAGTCTGTGTCATAAGCCCAGATCCCTGCTGCTATGGCCCCATTGGGGACTAGGCGTTCTTTGTTTGGTTCATGAGAGTGCTTTTAATCTCACGATCCTTTCTGACATCAAAGAGCAGATTAAGCGAGGAGATGAGGGGAGGAAGATAGAAGAGCAGCAAGGAGCCAAGTTGATGAGGGGGCTTCAAAGAACTGGTGGGAAATGAAACTCAAAAATAACGCCACCAAGTTGATTCCAACTCCCAGGGACCCAATAGGACAGTGTAGAATCTTCTCATAGGGTTTCTAAAGCTGTACAGAAAGCCAACTGCCCTAGCTTTCTCCTGTGGATCGGCTGATGGTTTTAAACGGTGGATATTGTGGTTAGAATATCATAGGCATAACCCACTACACCACCAGAGCTCCATACTTTCTTCAAAACCAAATAAAACAAAGCAAAAACTCTCAATTGCAGGAGGGTGAAGGGAAGGTGAGGGAGAAAGGGGGAACAGATTACAAGGATCTACATATAACCCCCTCCCTGGGGGACAGACAGCAGAGAAGTGGGTGAAGGGAGACGTCAGATGGTATAAGGTATGACAAAATAATAATAATTTATAAATTATCAAGGGTTTGTGAGGGGGGGGAGCAGGAGCGGGAGGGAGTGGAAAAAATGAGGAGCTGATACCAAGGGCTCAAATAGAAAGCAAATGTTTTGAGAATGATGATGGCAACATATGTACAAATGTGCTTGACACAATGGATGGATATATGAATTGTAATTGAGTTGTATGAGCCCCCAATAAAATGATTTTTTTAAAAAACTCTCAATTGTACTGCCAGGGAGTCAGTTCTAACTCATAGAGACTACAGGCCAGAAGAGAACCACCCTGAGACTGTACATCTTTAGAAAAGTAGAAAGCCTCATCTTGATCCCACAGAGCAGCTGGTCATTTTCAACTGCTTGACCTGTGGTTTGCAACCCAACTGGCCACTAAGGCTCCATCCTGTCTTCCTAGTCCCTCTTAATCTGGAAGCTCCACTGAAACCTATTCGGCCTGATAGAAACCCACAAGCCTCTACGAACAGAGGGGGTCTGCATGGGTTAGGAAAAGAACCTCTGGTGTCCTGCATCAACAAACAAATAAACAAACTCACTGCCATCAATTGGATCCAACTCATCGTGACCCTGTATCGGGTTTCTACGGCTGTAATCTTTCTCCTTCCGACAGCCTTGTCTTTCTCCAACAGAGCAGCCCAATCTGTGACCCACACCACCACCAGGGATCCTTCACGGAGGGCAAGCCTTCAATCTCTGAACCACCACTGCCGGAGGCCTTAAAAAAAATACAAAAACAATGCACTGCCATTGAGTCGATGCCAACTCATAGCGACCCTACAGGACAGGGTAGAACTGCCTCTGTGGGTCTCTGAGGCTGTCACTCTTTACAGGAGTAGAAAGCCCCACCTTTCTCCCGTGGAGTGGCTGGTGGTTTCGATCTGGTAGTAAGCAGGCCAACTTGGAACCACTACACCACCAGGGCTTGCCTGAGGCCTAGTTTGTGACAATTTCCACAGCTCCGCCCTTCTCTAAGAGAGACTGCTTTCCTGAGGAACAATTTGCAACGGTGCCTGTCAAAACCCATTCCCTAGATGTGGCTGGAGCCCCATCAGCCTCTGCCTCTGCAGATATCCTTCCAGACCTGACAGCCAATTAACTCTGGTAATGAGGGGCAACGCATATCAGACAGGATTTTTTTCAAGTTTACAGAAACCTGGGCAGCGGTGAGGTCCCCTGGAGCCTCCACCCATTGTTTGCTCAAATGACTGGCAGGAATCTCCTCTTTCCTCGTCCCTGATCTCTTCTGGAAAAGATGGGAGTGGACAAGAAAGGGTAATGGTGAGCAAAGAGGAGGATTGTGAAGAAAAGGCTTGAGAGCCTGCACAATTGAATGACAGAAAACAGCCCCACAGTTCAGTGCTGTTTGCTGACCAGCCACTAGCATCCTTTGAAAGCTTCCAGAAATGCACTCTCAGGTACCAATCCAGACCCATTGACTCAGGACCTGCTTTGTAAGGACCACTCTAGAATGAATGGCCATGAACATGCTGGGGGTGGTTGTGAGGGTTGGAAGCAGTAGGCCCTGGCAAATTTTTCCCTGTAAAGGGTTAGAACACAAATATTCCAAGCTTTATAGGCCAGAGAGCTTCAGATGCAAGGATTCGAGCTTACCATCCCAGGTATCTCAAGTGGCCTTCTCTTGAAACCAATGTCTTTAGACAGAAGACCACAGGTCCCCAGACTGGGTTCAGAACTTACTTCCTCCAAAGAAGTGAAGACTGAGTCTCAAACAGATACCTGTAAACTGAGGTTGATGGTGTGATATCAAACTGAGGTTGGTGGTGTGATATCAAACTGAGGTTGGTGGTGTGATATCAAACTGAGGTTGGTGGTGTGATATCAAACTGAGGTTGGTGGTGTGAATGGGTGACATGCTCCCTTGTGAACTGTAAGGTTGGTGATCCAGAGGCCCCTCAGATAAAAGGCCTGGTGATCTACTTCTGAAAAGTCCAGCCACGAGAGCCCAGCTCTCCTCTGACACACATGGGATTGCCATGAGCTGCTGTCAACTCAACTGGCTACTGTCCACTGCGGCACAAGAGCCAATAAGTGAGAAAAAAAACCAACCAGCATCCGTCAATGGATGAATGGAGAAACAAAATGTGGTCTATCCAAACCACAGCGTGTTAGTCAGCCAATAAAGGGGAACAAAGTCTGATACATGCTACAACATAGATGAAGCTTAAAACATTACGCTAAGTGAAAGAAGCCAGATGACTCCGCTCACATGAACTATCTAGAAGAGGCAAGCACACAGACACAGAAAGGAGAGCAGAGGTCACCAGGGGCTCCCAGGGAGGGAGCACAGGTAAATTATGGCTCAACATACACCCAGCTCTAGTTTGGGGTGATAGAAATACACAGTGATAAAGGCTGCACAACATTGAAACGATGGTGCTGACATATGCACTGGCAAGTGGTACGTATTGTTATCACAATAAAATTTAAAAATAAATCAGGGAAGAGGTGGTCATAGGGGAAGGCAAGCACCATGACCCCAAATCCAAAATGTTCCCCCAATGCACTCAGGACAAAACTCTGGCTGTCACCTACCACTGGTTCATGATCTTCTGCTGGGAGCGGAAGTTAAAGGACTTCCGGCTGTCCACCATTTTCCGGAACTGCTGCCTTAATTTCCTAAGCTCCATCTCCACCTGTTGCTCTCTGGTCTTCTCTGAAACTTCCTGGGGATCATCTGAGCCCTTTCTCCGGTGCTTCTTTGGTTGAGGGAGACAAAAGACAGTGGGCTATCAGTCAGGTGACTGTGGAAGGCCACATGTCAGCTCCAGGGCAGGGGCGAGAAGGTGGGAGAGCACCCTTGAGCAAGGTCAACTGCTTCTCTGTTACATGGAAAAGCTGTCCAGGGTGGCCCCAGTGGGAGGAAGCTGGGCCCCCTTTCGTGTACTGAAGAGGCAACCTTGCTAGGTGAGGTAAGAGGGTATTCTTTGGAGTCCTGGGTTCAAGTACAGGCTCTGCCATTTATGGGAACCGTGACTTTGGGCAAGCCACCTACCATCACCGTGTCTCCTGTCCCTTAGAAATGGGTATGCATAGGCATGCTGTGAGGACTGAGTGAGGTAATACAACTTAGACCCACTGACACACCCCTTACACTGGAGCTATTATTACCGTCGGCATCTCGGAGGGACTGGTGTTCTTCTGCTCAGTGAAAGCTTCCTTCTCAGTGACTGCTTCTTTCTCTCTCTGCAATGTCCTGTCCACGGGGGCCAAAGGAAGAGAACTTGTGTGCTGTCCTATGTCACCTCCTCCCTCCTCCACCGTCTGGGATCCCTTTCTCCCTCCCTCAGCTTGGCACATGAGGAGGACATGGCAGATGGCTGCCCTGGTGTGAAAAGAGGTACTTAAAAAAAAAAAAAGCAGCAAGGTTTGTCTGAAACCTGTTCCTCTCACAATTTATTATTAGGAATTGGGCAGATTGCTCTGGAGTGCCAGTTACCCTTCTGCTCCCTGTGTTCCCAAATAAAACCTAAACCAAACTCACTGCCATCAAGTCACCCCAACAGAAGAGCGTAGAATCGCCCCTGTTCGTTTCCAAGACTGTAACTGTTAACCTGAGTTGAAAGATTCCTCTTTCTCCCGGTTCCCAAAATGGGGCTAAAGCAAAACTTTTCCATTTCAGTTTGAGTTGGGGGTGGGCTCCCCCATAATTTAAAGCTGGAGCCGTGGTTCTGGGAGGCATTTTTATACTCTCATGCCTTCATCTGGCCGTGTGTACTCAGAGGGGGACCCGCTGCACCCCACTTTGCAACCCACTCAGAGGTCCTGCTGTACGCGGCTTAAAAATAAAAAACCCCAGAAACATTGAGTGTGGAAATCATTCTCTCTCTGCTCAAATATCTCAACAATTGACTAACCTTGAGCAAATCCCTTCAGTTCTGCGAGCCCTGATTTCCTCAGGTTTAAAGTGCCTAGCACATACTAAGTGTTCAGGAAACAATCGTCAGTGTGATGTTTTATTCCACTTGGTGACGGGTGAGCATAGGGAATGTTTATGAGGGTTTGAGGGGCACCCAGTATTTCTCTACGCAGAATTTCCTTGGGGAAGCACCGCCTCCCTCACTCCTGGAAAGCTTGGGTCTGAGCCTGTGACCCTAGTGGGCCAATCAGAATGTCACGTCCCTGGCTAATCTGCATAATCCCGCCCCTGCCTCGAATTAACTAGTTCTGAGGTGTGGACAAAACTCCAAGCTAAACTCACCTACCTTGGAGTCAATTTGGACTGGCAACCCTGTAGGGCAGGGTAGAATTGTCCTTGTGAGCTGCCAAGACTATCTTTTTACAGGGGTAGAGAATTCCAGCTTTCTCCAGGAGCGGCTGGTGGTTTCAAACTGACCTTGTGGTTAGCAGCTGAGGTAGTTAGTTTATTGTGCCAACCTGGCCGATAAACACATGTGGGATTAATTGAAGGGTGGAGAGATAAATGGCTCAGCGAGCATCGCCTTTTTTTGATCCATGGACCAGCGTGCGGCTGCCTTGCTTGTTCTGTGCCTCAAGTTGCAAGCTACACTACCTGTGGGACACCTAACCCGTGGACTGTGTCACCATAATTTGAGGTTCCTTCAAGACCTGCTTTGCCACACCATTGGATTTACATCTCTTGAGCTGGGAACCACTGGACCCTGTCATCTGGCTGACCGTTGGTGACCTGCCTTGCTGTTTGCTGCCTGTGCCCGGATAGCCTGAATTGCTCTACAGAGGACTACCTGGCGGCCCTCAAGACTTGAAGGACTGCCAGGGTCTCACAACTGTCTCATGGGAGTGAGTTGCACTGAGCCATTTGTACTGCTTTATAATTTAATTTACTGTTTATTTCTTATGTAATATATCTCTATGTATAAATATATATAAAATTATTAGCATTCTGGGTTTTTTTTCTCTAGAGAACCCTGTCTAACACATCAGCCCAACATGGAACCACTGCACCACCAGAATGAGGACAGGACTCGGCCCATTCCAAGTAAAGCAAAACAAATTGAGGGATTTAACCCTGAACACTCGGACTCTTTTATTTTCTGATACCCTTGAATTTGGATGAATGAGGCTGGCAATGGCTGGCAGCCATCTTTCACTAAGCCCGAGAAGACAGCCAACTAGATAGAGGAACAGATGAATAGTGACTGAATCTTAGGGACATACCCAAATGCCTGGATCAAGCCATGCCTGAAGAGACATCCGAGTTATGTGCATTTAGGAAGGCGCTTCAAAGAGTTCATTGAAAATTTCCATTATCTTTCCCTTCCACTTTTCCACAAGATTTTTGAAGTCCCCTCATATATTCCAGTAAAACCATCTAAGGTGAAGTTTCTATCCCTTGCAAGCAAACGAGTTGTGTTTCTGAGACGTCCAGAGGCCCGGGTCAGGAACAGTGGGGAACTGCCCGGCCCCACCAGGCCCTCTGCCTCAGTCTAGCCACCCCAGCATCGACAGCACAGGGCACGTGGTAAATTTTTGACAGATAGTGGGAGATTGACTAAACTTTCCTCCCACAGAGATCACTTTTACAGGCTAATACTGAGTTAGCATCCTCTGCTGCTAAATTTTGACAGAAAAGCTCCAACAGGAAGCTTTCTGCAGGGGCCACTCCGGCAGGCAGCAACGGATTAAAAAATGTCAAATCCAGCTGGGCTAGGAGCTGTAAAAGCTGAAGCTGAGCTGCGCAGCTTAGCTTACCTGCTTAGCTCGAATCAGAAATGAACGAACGTACACAATCCCACCCCCACTCCATAACAATCCCAATTTCAAAACTGGAATTGTGATAGGGAATTTTTTTTAGTGGATTTCTTTGCATTATTTTAATGGATTTATTTGCATTATTTTACACCCTGCCATTTGTTCATGTTTGGTCGAGGGGAGCTATGGTATTTTCAGGCTAACGGCACAGATGGACTGGATGGTCCTCCCTGGCAGGGGCGCTGTGGAGCCGCAGCCAAGGGCGAGACTTACCAGGCCGCGCAGCCGCGGCTCCGACGGAGTAGGGGGAGTCAGCGGTGCAGGGAGGGCTACACACGGTGCGGCCGCGCAGAGCCTTGCCCGCGCGGACCTTCTAGAACCCCCGGAAAGGTGGCCTTGTGACCCCAACAGACAAAGAGTTCTCTCTTGGAGGGGCGCAGAAAGGACGGCAGCAGCTGCGAGGGACTCCCTGTCCGCTAAGCAAACAGCCTCTTGACCTCACTCTTGGACCCCTTCTGAAACTGAGTCATTCTCTGCTCACTCTCCACTCACAGGCCCCTCCAGCATCTTTCCCTCACCCCTCACTCACACCCACTCAGCCTTCCTCACCACAACCCCACTGGGTACACAGATAATACGGTTTAATTCAAAGGAACCCAGGTCTTTGCGCTCTGGGGGAAAGAGAGGAGGGGAGCGGGGAGGGGTGAGGGGAGAGAGTAACATTAGCAATGTAGAGATTACCCATCATCCTCTCTCTGAATCCTGGCTCTACAGACTCTTGTGGTTTAAAACTAAACCTTTTTCATACAAATGACCCCCAAACACCAGCCCATTCGCCTTCCTCTGAAGAAGGGCTAAACTGAAGCAACATGAAAGAAAATGATCCTAGAAACAGACTTATCTGGAGTAATTTTGACTCCATGCAGTTTCCATTTTACCTACTAGCTCTGAATTCTAACCCCTGATTCCCAAGCTGTGAAATTTACCAGATGCTTCACGTTAGGAAGGTCACGTGGTGCACCCTATATATAAACACCATGATTGAAATACGGTGTTGCTGAAGAACATTGAAAGTACCGTGGTCGGCCGAAAGAACAAACATCTCTGAAGAAAGTGTAGCCAGAAGGGACCTTAGAAGCGATGATCTCAAGACTGTCACGTGTACGTTGGGACAAGTGGTCAGCATGAAAAAGGACATCATGCTTGGTAAAGTGGAGGGTCAGTGAAAACCAGGAAGAGCAACAAGCAGGTGGATTGGCCCAGTCGCGGCAACAGTGGGCTCCTGGGCACCGGAAATCGTGAAGATGGTGCGGGACCAGGCAGTGTTTTATTCGGTGGTGTGTTGGGTAGCTAGCTATGGGTTGGGATCGACTTGAGGGCACCTGGTAACCACCACACCACCACTGATAAGAACAGAAGCCTGTGCTGCCCCTGATGTTGCTGGCAGCCCTTTTGTAGCCACAAGGGAAGTCAGAGTGAGATCAAAGTCTATTTGTAACACGTGGGACCTGGGCCATGCATCAAATTCAAGTACACTAATCGCACTGAGAGGAAACACATGAAGAGTCATGCCAAGTGGGAATGGGATTGGGAAGCCTCACATCAGGGCTTCCCTCCAAATCACACAAAGCTCTTTGGGACAAATACTACCATCCCATGCCACAGATGAGGAAACTGAGGTTTTTGAGAAACAGTGATTATTGTAGGATCACCCAACTAGAAAGTGGGAGAGCCAGGGTCTGGCCACAAGGCTGGCTGGCTCTAGAATGGCATGCTTTTTTCCTCAGTCCAGAATGAAATTAGAGCTCCAAGCCGGCTGCTCTTCTGGAAGCTGATTTCTGCCATCTCTTTGCTATGTAAAAGGATGCTCCAGCAGTCAGCTCCATACATAGCCCAGTGACTCACACATTTCAAGTGTCAACGACTGGAAAATGATTAAGTACAATTAAGTTCAGGACTTGTTAAAAATAGACTTTCCGCAGAAGAATTTACTCTTTCTGCCTTTAGGGATGCAGACCTCAGCAGCCCCCAAACAGAGAAGTACAAGGTTTTTTTTCATTAGAACATGCCAGAATCGGTTATGCTAAAGAGATCATCAGCTTCCATCAGTGGGGCTTGGCGCAGGGGGAGATGCCAGCTTGCCAAAGTGATGAGCCATCCGTGAGAAATTTTGGCAAGAACAGATTATGAAACAGGCAGAAGTCAGAGGCACACTGCACAGAAGTTGGGCGAAGGCATTTGGACACAGACCCAGAAGGCTGGTTGTCCAAGCACCTCATTGGTTATAAGGATCAGAAACCCACTCAGATGAATGCAATGTTATTATTACTATTTATGATTTGCCTTCCCAGCATCTGTTCCTCTTCCTCATGCCTCTCGTTGTTCCGTGCTGTCGAGTCCATCTCTTTGCGACTGGTCTTCGGTTGTTGTTAGGTTTGGCTGAGTTGGTTTCTGCTCATCATGAGTGGATGCACAACAGAACAGAACGTTGTCTGGTCCGGCACC